AAGTCACTTTCTTTGTTCCACCTTCCAAGCTTCGTCACAAAGGCAGGGCTCCTGCCTGCTTGGCAGTGCGCAGACAAGAGCTGCTGACCTCGTGGTTCCGTTGGAGATGCAGAGTTCAGGTAGATCCTCCCAAGTCAGCTTCAGGCAACACTTACAAGAACAGTTTAAGCAGCACAAAAATAGTCTGAACTAACTTGACTGCGTTCTTGCATGATGTGCATTGGGAAATGCTCAAGCAAGCATTGCAGAATCAGTAGCTTACAGCGAAGTGAGGAGTGTCCAAAGAAGTGATAGTTTAACACCAGTGTAAGTGGATCCCAGAGCGAGCATTTCCAAGGCTTTCAGATACCATTTTATACTGTTCTGGTTAGAATAGCATGAAAGGCTGGCCGCACAGGTGGCTTTTCTTTCTTTCTTTCAGATAAAGTCAATGGGGAGTAGGTTTGAGTCAAGCCGAATGAGCCTCCTTTGATCCAGGTTTATCAGTGAGGGAGTGTGCGCTGCCTTACCAGCTTTGTAGGCATAGTCCAAAGGCTGCTTTTCCTGCAAATAAATACTGTGTGTTTATATATATTATGCAAAAAGAAGAATCTGCAATGCAGCTAGCTAGCAATGAACAGAACTTCCCCAATTTAACAGGATTTGGTGACCTGGAGACCCTGGTTCATTTCCTCAGTGTTAGATATCTTGCAACATTGCATTGCTACTTTCACTTATATTTGTTTGCTTGACTTGATATTTTAGGGTTGTGTAAAACAGAAGCGTGACTGTTCTGTTGGCTGGGTGCCTGAATTGGTGAGGAAATTGAGTGAAGTTACTGGAAGATAGGGGATCACAAGGGAGTGGAGGGTAAAAATGTGTTGTAAGCAGAGTGTATGTAAAAGCTTTATAAACATCCAACTGCATAGGAAGGGGTTAGAATTAATCCTTATTTTCAAGCATGGATGTGCAGGCCTACACCTCCAGTGCTGTAGCAGCACGTACAGCCACAGTTTGTGTTCTGCCTGTACTCTGTCCTCTTGTCTGCTGATGGTCATAAGGCCCAGCTGCTGGCTCATCTGACTTCCTTCAGCATGGTTCTCATCTAAAGTCTCCGAATTCTTCTCCCTTCTCATCTGAGAAGCAGTGGCATCTCATTCCTGAAGTTCTCGATTTGCTCCACCACGTGCCTTCCTTAAAATACTGCGCAGTGTCAACAAGTACGTATAGTAAGGAGAAACCTTGGGAATGGATCCCTGGACCCTGCCCTGTCCTGGTTACTCTGAAGCTCAAGTTTGTTAGTAGCTCATGTAGTGAAGAACCAGAGAAGTGCACATCTGTGGTTACCATAAGCCAGCTGGTCTGATCCTGGGGCTGCCACCAGTCGTGGTCTCTCTCTTCCCTGCACGTGCAGCCACACGGTCTCATCATCTCCCTGGTATTGATGTGTTAGAGCTTACACAGCAGCACCATGAATCAGATCGTGCCTCAGAAGGGCTGAATCTATTTGTGGCTTTGGTTTTTTCACAGGATTTGCTCACGGTAATGAGATCCAACTGGCTGTGTGGTTGTACCATCAGCAGCGCTGGCACGGCAGAGGGGATGATAACGCGTGGCCAATGAGGAATGCTTCCCTCCTGTCACAGTGCTGGGTTAGATTGGCTGACTGCGAAGCCACAGTGTGTGTTGAAGCAGAAATAAATAAGGCCTGACATCAGCTTGGTTTGTCTAGGCTACTGATTGGCCTGCTGCAGAGCCACAGCTAGAGGAGAAGCAGCCGAAGTGTGTTGATATTGGGAAGTCTCAGTTCCCTGCGGGGATTAGAGCCTCTCACTTGTGTCTGTTTGCCAGTAATCACACACAGACAACTGCGTTCTGGTGGTGTTCTGCAGTTTCCATCGTCTATTTTATGTTGGAAATTGATGCTAGAAGTTGGGGACTGTATTTCATCGTAGGACTAGAAAAATAGCCAGGGTGAGAATACTGTTTGTTGTGCCTGGACAGTGGTGCTGTTGCACTGACAACGCAGATGGAGCAGCCTCATCTCTGTTCAGTAAGTGGCACCTTCTTTTGCCCTGACTTAACAGGACCTCAAGAGGTATGTCTTAAGATGCATAGGAAAACAGCTGGGAAGAGTTGAGGTTTGGCAGGATTAGCAGGTAGATGGTAAAGTCGTGAGATGACATTTCTGAGGTTTGTTTGAAATTAGGGTGATGAAAGCACTGGTGTTGCATCACAGCAGGAAGAGGTAAAATCACCCCTGTGGCAGGAAATCCGCCGAGTGTGCAATGAAGCTCTGAGGATTCCAGTGTTTCCAATGCTTGAAAAGGAAAATATTCCCAGGCAGTGAGCAGAGAGACTACCAAGTCTCAGCACTGTGTACAAGAGGTATTCTTACGGTGTTTTTTAGTCTCCTTGCACAAGAAAATGTCATTGCAATAACACCAGTGGTTCATCTATTTGAGGCTGCGCTTTCATTTCATTCATTTTAAGTCGTTTTATGGGTATCTTTCCTTTAAATCAGTAGGGTTTCAATTACTACTCTTGGGTTTTCCTTTCAAGTTCTGAGAAGTTCCAGAAGTGGGACATCAGTCCATGAAAACAGGATCAACACGCATGTATTTATTTGGTTAGTAGATTGAATGGCAAGCACCAAAAAGCAAAGTTAATGTTTGGATAACAGTGTGCTTTGAATGCACTTAGAAATGCAAATGATGGTTCTGGTAGTGTTGGTTCTAAATGTCATAACTGAGCTGTCAGAGGATGTCACGAAGTCTCTCCAGATTTCTGCTTGGTGACATTACCTAAAGATGCCCATAACAAACACAGTCTATTTCCAGGGAGCAGCACTTATAAAGGAGCTGGTCGTGTGGGCTGCTTTCCGTGTCTGTCAGGTTACATCAACTGCTTCATTGCTTTGTTTGAAGCTGCTGGGGGGAACAGCCTTCTTGTTATTGCTGGGGGACCATGGAGTTTGTGTGTGTAAACACATCCCTGCTGATGGGGATCCCAGGTTGTGAACGTTGCTCTTGAACAGCCATCCTTTGTCCTCCTCAGGTGGTTGATTCCACCTTTTTTCTAGCTGTTAGTCCCAGTCATTGGTTGGCCGCTGTAATTATTTATATTAAAATATATTTTCTCTGTAGGCTAATAAATCTTGCATTCTTCTAGTATAAAAGGAAAACCATGAGAGTACTTGTAAGTTAAAACACATGCTTGGTAGTGTCAGGGAAAAGAGGAATGTTGTTGCCCTCCAGCAGAAGCCATCTCAGCTGGGCTCACATGGGGCAGCAGCCACCAGCCCCCCTGCATCCATCCCTGCTGCCACACCTGCAGCTGGGCTCAGCACAGGGCCCACCATCCCCATGCTGTGGCACACTCTTCTTTCTCGTCTCTCACTGAGAGCTTCGTTCCAAAGAATGCTCTCCCTTTGCCAAAATTCCTCATGGTCTTGCCTTCAAGGAAACACATCCATTTTTAGCAGGCTAGGAGTGCCTTTTTCTTTCTTTCTTTCTTTCTTTCTTTTTTAAGCAGATTTCTGTTAATGGTTGCTTTAACCCATGAAAGCTGAACACAAAGAATCACTTCAAGTTACAGTTATCTGTATTTCACTCGTATATTTAGTCCCAGTAAAATTCAGCATTTGTGCTTTTGAGGGGGGAAAATTAGCATGCTTGCTGTCTGCACTTCGTGCTCTGTCAGGTAACGAGGGTTTGTACACATTGAACCAGGTGCTTTTGATTTACCTCGCTTCCACTTTCTGCTTTGGAAAAGCAGCGAGTGCTGCTGTACTGCAGGTGTACGGCACTGCTGGGCTGCTGGGATTCTGTGCCACTTCTTTCCTGCTTTTGTTAGAGCTGTTCCTTTCGCTCAGGTGTTTTTAGGAAGAAGGTGAGAAAGAGAACAGAGCAAAGTGCAATGACTGCTTTTCCCAACCTCGAGTCTGGTCCCATTGCGTTGAGGGGAGGCTGGCAGAGCTCGGTCATTGCTGCTGATGGCTTTGGTGTGTTATTTTGCAAAGTCATTTCTCAAGAAATACTGAATCGTGGTTGGTGTCCAGCACTCGCATGCTGTGGGAGTCCAGACAACAGACCAGCATGTAAACACTCGGTCTCAAGCATTCTTTGGTATGATGAAGTGAAAGAAAAAGCACCAGAGATTTATCATGTTTGTGGTTAAACCTTTTCCAAAACAGTGCAGTGCTTTTCTTTGTGCCTCCTCTGCCAGAGAACTGCCACATTTGGTGGTAGTTTTGATTAAAGTTTGTCTTGCTCAGCAGGAAATGTTGGATCACAAAGAAATAGCAAATCTTGCTGCTCACAGTGAGCATTTCTCTGCAGCCAGGAAAGACTGGAGATTGAAATCCTTGCATTGCATGGTTAGATGGCAGGGTTCAGGTGGGATCTGTGCAAAGCAGGGGATGCCCTCTCCGTGTTACAGAGAGCGTGTTGGTGCTGCGTGGAAGCATGCACTGTGCACACTACGCTGTGTATTTTGGACTAGAGATTAGAAGCTGAGATTTCCAGGCAACGGAGCACTAACAGGAGGCTGGGGGGAGAGTGCTTGTGGTCTTTGGTTGAAACCTCATTTAGTTTCAGTTTGATTAAAGAAAAATTATTTTCTCCATTACAGCAGCACTTGCTCTATACCAGTGATTAAAAAAAAACATATCTGTAAATCCATAATGTGAGGATGATCATGGAACAGAGATCTGAAGCTGGGCTCTCGGCGTTCTGAACTAGCTCCTTTAAGCTTCAGGCAGTTTGGGATGTGAAAGCATGGCTATGAGAGGAATGTTGCATCTGCCTCTCTCACTGTCACTATCAGGTTTTGAAATATGTTGATTTATTTCCCTTGTGAAATGAGAATCACTTCATAATCTTGAAAATTTTGCAGGTAGGATGGCAGAATGGAATCCTGTCCAGTGCTTGCCACGATGTGATGGAGAACATGCAGATAATACCTGCCCTCAGGAAGTTGAAGATAGCTTCTCAGAAAGGGTCTTTTTTCTTCCCCTTCAGATTTGTCACGGAACAGACTGTCAGAGCTTCCCGCAGAAGCATGTCACTTCGTCTCCCTCGAGAGCCTTAATTTGTACCAGAACTGCATTCGATACATCCCAGAGGCTGTTTTGAACTTACAGTCCTTAACGTTTCTAAACATCAGGTAATGATTGCCTTAAAAATTTTGCTTCAGCATCTTGGTAGCCTAGGTTTTTAAATTCGAGTGCTTCCACGAATAATGGACGCTGTGTCATCATCTCCCTGTTATATTGTGTGGATTTGAAACAAAGCAGTCTGAACGCCCGCTTGGATGGGTTAGGGAGCATAAGGATTCAGCAGCAACTGGTAGAAGTGAAGTATAAGGAAGGAAGCTAATTCCAGTGTAAGGTACTCACAGAGAAAGTTCCAGTAGTTTTCAGTTAGTATGCCTGGTTTCCCATGAAAGAGGATATTGTTGTTGGATGGTCCGTGAAATTCGGATCTGGGCACCTGAGTGCTGATGGAATATAACAGCTCTTTGCTGTGTTTTGTTTTGAAGGAGAGTTGTTTTCCCTTTATAATCCATTCTTATCCTGCATGATTCTCATCTGAGGTCGCAGTCTCATCATATGACCTCCTATTTGCTTTAATAGCAGTCTGTTGTGAAAGGTACCGATTGGATTTTGGAGCAGCCAAGTTCATCGTACTGAAATTCTCGATCCACGTGACTTACTGAATATTTCAAGTGTATTTTTGATTGAGTATCTAGTGACTTTCTCTGTGGCACTTTGTATGCACTCACCTGCAGCGCTGCCTCTTTGCTGGCTTTTGGGTGGTGAGTTGTCAGCAGCGCCCAGAAATGTCCTGTTCCCCAACACTGAGTTCAGAAGCATCAGGACGTGCTTGGTACTTGATATTCAGAGCGTGCTCAGACACAGACACATAAAGCAGTGCTGCTTCAAGGAGCTGTAAAGACTTTGTGGAAGTAATTTTACAGTAATTATACAGAAACTGAGTTGATAAACAAAACAGCGCGTGCTTTTTGTGTGGGAAGACGAGAGGTGACTTCTCATGACGCTTCTGATGATCTGATTTTCTTTCTGTCCAAAAAGTCGAAACCAGCTTTCAACGTTGCCAGTACACCTCTGTAGTCTCCCACTAAAGGTTCTGATAGCAAGTAATAATAAGCTGGTTTCCATACCTGAAGAAATTGGGCAGCTCAGACAGCTGACGGAGCTCGTGAGTATACAGTTATTTTTTAACAATCACTACTTAATCTTTAACTTAAGGGATTTAATTAAGTTAAACGCATCAAATTAAATTGATTTAATTAAGAGGTTCAGATGTGCTTCAGATAATCTGATAAAAACTGCTCAGTAATTAAGCTGCTCTCTGGGGATGTGCGTGATGAATATTCTGTCTCTCATTCTGCTGAGAGCTTTGTGATGGTAAACCAGTCACTGGTGTGCGCTAGCAGCTTAAATCTGCTTTTGGCCTAAGAAGGGTTTGTATCTGCTGTAGTATCTCCCTCTGTCCGTGTGCAGGGCACTGACTCTTTGCTCGTGCTGTGTAGGATGTGAGCTGTAACGAAATTCAGACCATACCTCCGCAGATTGGCAGTTTGGAATCCCTACGGGACCTCAATGTCAGAAGGAATCATTTGGTGCGTTTACCTGAAGGTGAGAATAACACTGTTGGTTGTAGCAGCTGAAACTTGAAGTGCTCCTTTATTTTTAATGCCTTTTTATTGCTGTGAGTACCAGCAGCAGTTGCATTTAATTATTTGTAAAATAGATACATGGAATTTTATATACTTTTAAATCTAAATTAAACTCATATCTTCTTCTTCCAGAGCTTGCCGAGTTGCCTTTGATTCGATTAGATTTCTCCTGCAATAAAATAACAACAATCCCAGTTTGTTATAGGAACCTCAGACATCTGCAAACCATCATGTTAGAGAACAACCCTCTCCAGTCACCCCCTGCACAGGTAAACTGCGGTTGGGAATTCACATGACTACTTTAATTAAAAAGGGTGGAACAAAAAGCTGAGGGATCGTATTAGAACCTTTACTTAAGAGCAAGGGAACTTTAAATAACTTGTATTTTCTGAAAGTGTTAAATATTCAGCACGGCTTGAAAAATCAATTTTTCTTTAATTTATCCTTTTAGTCTCACCTGTGGCATTATGTGAAAAATTCCCTGGTTGGCACTGTGCTATTAGCAGGAGATTTCAGATGGCTGTAGTTTTAGGAAGGGCATAGGAGAGAGGAAGCTCTGTTAGGCAAAGCTGGTTTTGTGCCGCTCAAATGTCAAAGTTTTGGCTGAGGTCTCAGCGCTGCTGTGTGCTGATTCACTTAGCAGAAGTGCTCCAATTGGCCTTTGAACTAGAGACTGCAATATGGTTAGTGACTAATTCCTTTTTTAATGCATAATCCGTTGAGAATTACAGGTTCTACTGTAAGCTGCTGCTTCTGAATCAAGAGCAGCACTTGCTGAAACCTGTCATCTCCATAAGGTTTTGCCTCAGGTTTTTGCCTCCCTTTAGAAAGCCAGGCTGTGGCTGACTTCATTCACTTCACATTTGAGCTTGCTTTGGCAGTCTGCCACTGCCATTCAAAGCTGGGCATGGGTGGGATGCATCTGTTCTTCAGCCAAGGTTATAAATTCTAGTAGTTGTACATGCTTATATCTTATTTGCATGCTGAGATTTTAGCATCCAGCTGACAGAGTTGCATGCAGACCAGATGTACTCGGAAGAGAGCTTCCATTTGTCTCACGGGCATCTGATGACACTGTTTCAGTAAAATGCAGCAAGGTTAGAAGATGCATTGGTTGGCATGAATGTGCTCATATTCTTGACTGCAGATTAAAGCCCTGTTGATTGTTCTGAAAATGCGTTATAAAATTATACTTGCTTCCCTTTTCTTCTTTTGTAGATATGTATAAAAGGGAAAATTCACATATTTAAATATCTCAACATAGAAGCATGCAAGATAGCTCCAGATTTGCCTGATTATGATAGGAGACCCATGGGATTTGGATCTTGGTAAGTTTTGCACCACCCAGGTTCTCAGTTTTGATGCCCCTTCAGAAAAGCTTTGTCAGCCTTCTGGATTAAAAAGAAAAGAAAAAGAAAAAGAGAAAGTAGATCCAAAAATGATTGTTCTTTGGCATGCTTGCTGCTGGGTGTGGTTTGAAGAGCATTAGCTGTGTTATATCATGGTACATTCTAGCAAGGTACTGCTTTATAAGAAGCAAAGAGTAGTTCAGAAGACAGCCTTGGAAATAGCATCTGAAAGGCAACGTTAGAGGTAATGCAGAGTAAAAAGATGTTGGCGTCTTCGCAGTGCAGGGGGCATGCTGCCTGGTTATTGACAGGAGTTCACTTAATAAAATCTCAGTATTTTCTACATGCTCACTGAAGTTTACCCCAATGTGATTTGTAACCTTTTGTACATAACTTTATAACCGCTGTGCTCGAGCTGCAGGTGTAAATGCTGATCTCCACCCCATTAGCAAACTGTTATTGTTGGCAAGCTTTCACTTGGCAGTATTGCTGAGTATTGTAACACAAATATTGGAACAGTCAGCTGTATCAGCTGCTGAGTTTGAAGATGTCTGGAGAAAAGCAAGAGTTAAGATTTATTTCTGTTACATGAAGCAGAAGAAAGGAAGTCAGTGAAGTATGAGACTAAATATATGTAAGAATTACCTCAGTCACCTTGGAAGATAGTAATAATGTGTGGAGAAGTAAGTTGCTAAAGGATGTACTGCTCTCTTAGCAGCAATAAAACAAACCAGAGGGCCTCACAATAAATCGTTATGAGTCAGATTTCTGAAGCAGGGTTTGCATGAGGGACTGACAGCAATTTCAGCAGTGCTGAGCACCTGAACTGACTCTTCTGTGTGAGGTCAGCTTGAGTATTTTATGGGTGTTACTCACTTTCCTAGAATATAAGCTGTTGCAGATAGTACTGTACACAGTACTGTCCTATTCCTGACAAGAAGAGGCTTTAGTGTGTGATTGCACTCCAGCACATTTTGTTTTTAGAGAGAAATTCCAAAATAGATGAGCCTGCATGCTCAGTGCTTCCTGTCTGTAACTATGGACTACTATTAACGTTTTCATTAATTGCTTTACTGACACAAGGATTAATGCATTTTAATCATAGCTTGGAATTCTGACTATAAAAGAAGATGAAAATGTGTATCAGAGGGCTTTTCCGTGTTTGAGGAGTAACCAAGTAGCATTTTGATGCTCCTCAGTTCTGTGTAGTGGTTCACATTAGGTCAGGGTTCTCAGAAGATTCTGAGAATACCAGTGCCCTCAAAATGGAAATATATGGCAAACAGATTTTTTTCTTCCCCCTCAATGAGCAATATTTTATATCTGTTATTTATGTTCTGAACTGCGAGCATAAAAGCATTGTTCTGCTGTCAGTGTCTCAAATTGATTGCAGTGGGCAATTTTGTCTTTCCTTCTTCCCACCCCAAACAGGAGTTATTATTTTCCCCCTTATTTTTTTGCTAAGGCTTTACTGTACAGCTGAGCTTTCTGCTCAGATTCCAGCTGTAGAAGTGGGCCTTCTTTGATCTAACTCACACACCGAGAAGGTCTCAGAGCTTGTCTTTTGGTGTCCATCTGCAGATGCACAGAAGATGCATAGCCTGATATTTCTCGTCTGTAGCTCTCCATTCCTCCTGTTACTTTATGTCTGTTTGAAAGCACAGCCAGCCAGGGTAGGAATGTAAAAAAAAAAAAAGGGCAGTGAAGCTGTAGAAATGCCACACATGCATTCGCTGCTGCCTAAATAACAGCAACAAGAATCATTTAAAAATAAGTATTTCCTGAAAGAGAGATTTTAAGGGAGCAGCAACTTGAGAGCAGTACCATCGAGAAGATGGCCTGCAATTTGGTTATGATGGGCGAAGCAATTAGCTTCCCAAAGTTCGTTCTTCCATGCGTATTGTGCAGTAATTACTGCTGCAGTTCTCCCTGGGGCTGCGGGTGCCAGCAGGACAGTTGGGCCATTGTGAAATGCCATCTGCAGCGGGTCAGACAAGTCCCATTGTCTCTGCTACAGCCATCTGCAGCAGTTGCCAGGCCTGACATCTGTGATGGCTGTGCTGCTGGATTCTGGCATTTCTGAGCCCCGAACTTTGGAGAACTGAGTGGCCTTTTGGCTGTACGTATTGTCATACAGGCACATGTCTGGTGCCCTCATCGAGACGTGTCACTGACAGTCGGGCTCCACAGAGGAAAACTACTTCTCTATTTATTATGTTATGAAGTATTTGAAATGCCCTGCTTACCATGCAGCTTCTGAGCAAGATAATTACGATGCACAAGACAGTTATGTAGTGCATTCTGTGTATGTTTGTGTAGAATAAATATATCCTCATATTCATGTATTTTTAGTAATAATGCTTTTATGCTGATTTGTGCAAAAACGTTGCAGGAGGAAAACAGAAGTGCTTTTCAACCAAAACATACCAGTAATGGAAAATGAAAGCTTGACTTAATAAGCAGTGAAATAACAATTCTGTTTTCTTCATTACCATTTCTGTTAGGTCATGTTTGAAGTATCGGTGAATACTTTGGATCAGGTTATCTCTTCAAGGTGTGAGATGTGGCAGATGGATGGTTGACTGAGAGGCATATTTCAAATTACAAACACATCCTTCTCGTTCTGCATGGCAAATGCAGTGTGATGCTTTCCAGTATGCTGAGCTAACGCTGTGCTTGGTAGCCTGTTGTGCTTTTAATAGCTGCAGTAACTGACAAATTTTCAGTGGTGTTTATATTACTGTATCTAAAACATTGTGTTTGACAGCCACGAGGAGCTTTATTCCAGTCGTCCATATGGAGCACTTGATTCTGGCTTCAATAGTGTGGACAGTGGAGACAAAAGATGGTCAGGGAATGAAGTAAGTATTGAAAATCATTTGTGTTGAGTGCCATATTGTATGAGAAAGAAAACTGCTAAGTGTACATCTGGAAGCATATTCAGTAGGTAACGTAAAATGTTTCTTCACTGTTTGTTTTCTGAAGCCAACAGATGAGTTCTCAGACCTCCCTTTACGTGTGGCAGAAATCACTAAAGAGCAGAGACTGCGAAGAGAAAATCAGTATCAAGAAAACCGAGGGAGCACAGTCGTAACCAATGGTGGAGGTAAATGGTGATCTTTGGCTAACAGTATTTATTGTGGTCGTTATGAGAGTTTTGGAGTATTTGCTATGAGCAATAGGATGGCCAAAGACAAAGGTTCAGAAAGACTGTTGTGTAAACAGTGTTTTACATAAAGGCAAAATCAGACAGCATCAGAATTAGGATTTTCAGGGAGGTATTATGTCAGCTTCTGCATATATGCCACAGTTGTGTGAGGTCACTTGAGTACTTTGAATAGTGTTTTGGAATCTTGAATTTCAGCTCAGAAAGTTTTGCTGCTTGAGCTACTTGGAGAAATTACAGCAGCAGGGAATGGTCTGTGCTCTGTGTCCACTGCTTTCGCAGCAGGATGAGCAGTTTTGTCAGGGAATTCCTGATGAAGCAGGCGTTGAGCAGTAGATATGCCTTGCTCCAGAATCTCAAGTCTTAATCCAGCCATGTGAGGCAGCTTAGAGGGGCAGGTACTTATAGGCATGATCATGTTTTTAGACCTCAATTTGTTGCCCCGCGGTCTTAAAATGGCACTTTCTCATTTGTTCCATAGATGACAGTGCTTCCCATGTTTCTTGATCTACACAGTCTTTATCCATTTTAGCTTGCAGTAATCTGCTGCCGCTGGCTTAAAGTTCAGTCCTCTTTTTGTTACCATGACCAGTTTTAGCATTCTTCTGCATCTATTTCTTTCAGTCATTCCCTCTTCGTTTCACTCACTGCCATGTCTACTAATTCAGTTTTCTTCTGCTGTTTTCCATTTCCCCTAAGGGTTCCAGCTCATGTACCCTATCTGAGTACCTTCCCAATAATTTCCATCTTCCTTCCTCCTCTCCATATTCAGTTTTTGCCATCTTGTTTTTTTAGTCTTACTCTTTACAGTTAAATTTTGGCCAAGTTAGAAGAGTTGAAAACATGATGTTAAGGGAAGCCGTGGGCAGCCTTCATAACAGCTAGTGCTGCCAGCTGCACCTCTGAGACTTAACTTTATTTTGTTCTTTGGGTTTTGTACACCAGGCATTTCAAAATTCATCATTAGTCTTTAAAGTGGAGCACAGTCAGTGCAAGTCTCAGCATACGACTGCCAGTGACACAGGAGATCTGTTAGTTTTGTGCTTCTAACACTGCTCCTAATGTATTTCACCTTCTACTGTAATATTGTTATTAATGTTTAATAAGCGAGGCTGGAAGGAAGGTGGTTGTGGTGTATGTGGTGTGACTTTTGTTGGGTATCTTTGAGAGTGGGGTGGTTTTTTGTTTGGTGTTGTTTTGTGGTGGTGGTGGTGGCGGGTTGTTGTTGTTGTTGTTCAGTTGTTTAGGATTTGAAACTGAGATGGAGATAAAATGAAGCCAAAATATATAGGAATGCTGTTCTGGATGGGTGCAGTAGCAGAGGAGGTGGCTCTGGCAGTAACAGTTGCTAGATTGTGTGGTGAGGCAAAGAGAGGTCTGTTATAGGCAAGCAGGAAAGAGGCGGAGGAGTAGGAAAAGAATGTCTGCAAGAGAGTGTATAGCAAGTCTGGGGAGAGTTTCAAGGTCAGGAGAGCTCTGGTACTCAGAAAAGGAACTCGTGCTTTCCCTGCATCCACAGCACTGGATTTTTCAAGCTAGTTTACTCACTGTTATGACTCCCAGAATTCCTGGGCAGAATGCACATTCTGTGTACGTAAAATGAGACTTCTGTTGTTATTTTGTGTTGTTTTCAAGGGCTTTCTTGCTTTCTGTAACATGTTCCATTACTTCCACTTATGCTTTTTGTAATCGTGGCATTTGCATCCAGATAAACTTGGCCAGGCTTCTTTGTTTTGTTGTAGTAGTAAAAATAGGAGAGCTATGTGATAACCATCCTAATTTGTCTGAAGGAGATGAGTTAGAAACAAGATAAATTCAGCATGTGCACAGATCATTGCCCAGTCTGTTAGTTGGTAGATGCTTTAAGCGTTGAGACAGTTACAGTATTAATTTTGGGTTATTGCTGAAGTATCCGCAGCCAGCAGTTCAGAGCTATGTTTTGTATGTTACTCATTGCTTTCTGAAAACCATGGATTTTATCATTACTTCAAAACCTCATGTTTAACAAACATTAGCAGGCCAGGCAGGATCCAACACCTTTGAGGCTGAGCTTTCCAGACGGAAGGAAGCCAGTAGGACCTCAGTTCCTGGCACTGCTTTTGTGTTGTTTATTTTCCCCTCCTGCTGGTCGTCTAACGATGGCTGTTTCCTTTGTGTGTGCATGTCAAGTGGAACACGATCTCAATCAGATCGACTATATCGATAGCTGTGCCACAGAAGAGGAGGAGGAAGAGGTGAGGCAACCCAAGTGTGTGGACTCAGACAGCCTCAGCTCACAATTCATGGCGTACATTGACCAGCGGCGAATCTCTAATGAGGTGGTGCTTTTACTTTAATGAAATTCACATGCCACAGAAAAGCCTTTGTGTTTACATTAATGCTTCTTGTCCTCACAGGTTTTCTTATAGAGGGGGGGAAAAAAAAACCAAAAACATATTAGTATGGTGCGGTCTGATCTGAGGGATCTGTTGAGCTTTGTTGGAGGGTCAGGGCTGAAGTGTTAAGCTGCTCCTGAGTGTCCTTTGGGAGCTGTGGGATGAGTCTGAAGCAGCCACACTTCTGCTGCACTGTGGGTTTTTGCAAGCCTTGTGCTTTAGGTTTGTGTGCAGTGAATGGTTTTCCAGAGGACTATTATTATGAACAATAGTCATCAGAAAACACAGAAGTTGATGCCTCTGAATGATAACTGGTGATACCTAAGATTTTCATGTTTACCTGATGAATTACTCAATGAATAAATGGCTTTTTTAAGGGGAAAAAATGCTCATTGTCAACTTAAAGATTTACTATGTGAATTTTGCAGCTCCATTAATTTGGCTTTCTTGTTGATTACAAGGACACTTACTGCCACGAGCATACATTTTACGTTTAGACTAACTTCAGTACTCAGACTGTTCAAAAAGCCCACTGTATACTGCAAACAGTTTCTGTCTCTTTCAGCTTTGAGCAGGGCTCTGAGGTGTCACCACAGGTTACAGACTTGGATGTATATGCAGTCACCTGTCTGAACAGGAAACGTTGCATTTTGAGATCAGTCTGGCATGCAGCTGTTCTCAGTCAGCAAAAGCATAGAGTTGAAAGAGCAGTGGATAAAAGTGTTGTGATGGGTTAGAAAGTTTTCCAGCCAGCTTTTTGCAAATATCTGGGTACAGGCATGAATAGCTCTGGACTGTTTTCTCCACTCACAAACACTTCACACACGCATACATAGACACACACAAAAAAAAGCCTCTTTGTTCTTTCCTCCCAGCAAGTTTAAACAATACCTTTATCATTTTTGTTCTGAAGTATCTTTCTGTTCAAGCTGGTGTGTAATACTTGCACTGGAACGCTGCGTTTCAGGAATCCCCATAACTGCCATCTAATTCCTGAGAGTCACAATACGTGCACCTATTTACCCACAGCATGCAGATGCAGAACTGGGCAAAACTGGAAAACATCTCTGTTCCAACTGCAGCAGCCTCTGCAGTGAACGCTGTGTGCTTTAGGATGGCAGACGTGGCAGAGTCTCCTCAGAAATCAAACTCCAGCAATGGGTTTTTAGCCCCATCGCGTTGCTTTTTACGTTCTGTGAGTCTTCAAGTAGTGCCTGCGTGCACAGCTTCACACTTCAGCAGGTCGCTCTATGCTGCATAAGCAACCTGTCTGAGCAAATCTTTGGTGGTGGTTGGTATGCTTGAACAGTACCTGTTATGCTGCAGTTCACGTGTCATTTCAGATCACTGCGTGTTTTGAAGCAGAAAGATACTTTTGGGGGGGAGAAGAAAATCGTGGCTCTTGTAGGATCGTGTGGGTCTTGTAGTTTTCGTGTAGGATCACCTCTGTTTTGTCCACTTTGTGTTACTGGTTGCTATGTTAAACATCAGTGGCACAAATATCCATTGGAGACGCATTCCTTTTGGAGATCTCAAGTGCAATATCAAATGGTGCCATTTAAAGCATAGAAATGAGCAGAACTCAGAAAAGGCAGCTGCTGGCAGCACAGTGCAAGGAGTTTTCACTTTTAAATAGTGGAAAATGATTAATGTCAAAAAAGTTGGAGGTTCTGTATTCATAAAAATTAAGCTGTTCACAATATGTCTAAAAAGATGACTATTGTAAAATGCTCTACAAGTTGGAAGGCCAACTGTATTGCAACATAGCAAGTGAAAACTGACAAGTTAATCTTGATGTTTCCATTTTTCTACGTTAATGGGTATAACTAAAAGTTGAAAAATATCACCAGGAGCAGTATGTCTCTGTTCCCAATGAGATCCATGACTTCATAGCTGAAATTAAGCTGTAGGTATTCATCTCATGTTTTCCTTTTTTATCCTCCTGTGACCTGTCACAGGGCATCATTAGAGAGCATCAGCTTTGTATTCTGTATGTTGAGTCTGCCTAGTTGGAAATAAACATCTCTGAGATGTGTTTTGTTGTACTTTCTTGGATATCTGGCATACTGCTTGTTAAAAGTGTAGCTATACGAATGCATTAGATGCACTGACTTTTAAAGTACTTTATTCTGGATGTGTTGCTAACTCAGTCTCCTGTGTTGTTCTGCACAGAGCTCACCAGCAAAGCCAGTGTCTACTAGAGAATGTCCGAAGGCTGAGGACACGAGGCGGTATTTACAGCAGAACAGGTAAGAGATGTGCTAACACTGCTTTCTGCAAAGCTTCGTGGTGAATCCAGAGCACCTTCACTGGGTGGTTGTTGTTTTATTGTGTTTTCTTTTGCTTCACTGGGAGCATGCGCAGCACTTACAAATATGTTGTTACTCCAGGTTTGGAATTCACATTCTAGTCATGGCACTGATCAAAAGGCTTGACTATTCCATACCAATGCTCAGATTTAAATGAGTTGGTTAAAAAATCTGCCAAATTAAAGCATGTAGTTCTAAACAGATGTAATATATGCTCTCTGTGATTTTAATTTGTGTTGTGATTAGACAACAGATACATTTTTATCCGTAAATATGGGTCAGAACTGGACGGGATATGAATGAGGAGGTTTGGTTTGGGTGTCCTGTTGAAAGAGCAGAGAATAAGGACATTGATAGGTTTTTGATAACATGAAATCAAAACTGACAGAACCTTACATATACTGTTGAAACACTGCAGTATTCTGTGGAGCAAAAATGAATGCAAAGCAATCAGCAGAAAACCAGCTCAGCTGAACTGGGAATATTTTAAAGAGAGAGAAAACTGCAAGCTCTCAGTATGTCATTATTTACACTGTCAGTAAAGTGTGGTGATGTTTAAAAATGGTCTTCAAAGAGAACAAGAAATCAAGAGTAGTGTGCCATTGTTTCCAGAATCATGGCAGTGTTTTAACAGGGATCTTGAAATGTGCAGTCAGTGTGTAAATATAGGAGCTGTGCTGCTGTAATGGAGGATAACTCCTTCAGCATATGTCAGCATTCCTTACTCTGTAGAGCCTATAAGTAAAGCATAAAATAATTTGGGGTGAACGTAACGTTCTCTCCCCAAATGAAGCAAATGTTTCTGGCTTGAAAGGCCGATTTGGTTTTGGTTTTATAATACTTTGTCCTGTTTGAACATCTGTGGTCAACATAGAAATAATTACACAAACAAATTCCATCTGAAGAAAACAAGATGGAAAGGCAGGTTAGTCAGGAGTAAGCTGCTGCTTATGTGTACAGGTTGAATGATAAAGGAACTTTAGGGTATCCATTGTTAGCAAAATTTAACTTGAGAATGGCAGTGGATCTCCTTGTACGGGTTGTTCATTAAGCATCCAAGGGAACTGGAGTTTACTTGTATTCTGGTGCAGCTGAGCAAAATTCTTAATGAGGCACTGAAAACAAGCAATGTTATTGCCCTCGAGATTATGGAAAAACAGCCATATGACAATTGGCAGGTTTTAATGTATATAATGTTAAGTATATATTAGAGAAATATTTCATTTGTGCCATCCACAAGCTGTAAGCTGCTTCCACTATAACTCATTTCATGCATGCAGCCCTTTTGTTCTTTTTTCTTGTTTTTAACATGCTGGAGCCATTAAAACTCTTGAAGAGTTGGATGTAATGCAAGCTTCATCTTAAGGGTACTTACATTGGTTGATTCAGCTCAGTAAATACAGTTGTTGCCCCCGGTGGGCTGTGGTGCAGTTCTGATACAGCAGTGCTGAGTGCACTCTGCTGTGAGCACACTTCCTGGCACTTAGTTGAACCCTGAATACTGTTCTTTCCAGGAGCAGAAAGGCCTGTGATCTCCAGAATGTAACATTAAGAGAGATTCAAACTTACTGTGTTTTGAAATCGTTCTGATAATTAAGGAAATTACATCCATTAAATTATGAACTGCAGTAGTTGCGACCTAACTTGGTCTCCCATTTCTTTAGTTGTTTTAAATTCCACCTTTGTGGTTGTCTGCAGCTGTCTGGGCAATTAGTTTTACAAACAGCTGTAATCTGGAGAAGGATTTGTCTGACAGTAGTGTTTATGCATCAGTGGCCAATCCCCCTTCCACCTGGTGTTTGCCTGCAGGGACACTGAATTACGAAGACCTGAAACTCTAAATTTGATGCAGGACAGAGAGCATCACCAAGTGCTAAGGAGTTATGTGGACAGGACAGAGAGGTAGGGAGAAGAAACGTATAGTTCCTACTGAATATTTTGTAATTATTTTCTTTGCTAACCATAGTAACCAGTTATTCCTTTACGTAAGGGTCATCTGGAGAGTTCCTGGAGTGGTTACTTAATCAGCTCCAGTAGAATGAGTATTAAGTACTGGGTATCTCAGTGTAATAAGCCAAATGTACAAAGCCATTGATACATGTTGAGCTGTGGAAGTGTTTAAATATGGAGTTCAGGAGAAGAGGTAGAAATAACTGCACTGAGTCGACCATGAAGTAGCAAAGTCAAATCGTTATTGCAGCAGTTTGACATCTTGCTGAATAGCTACTCTTACAGAGTTAATAAGATCCATGTGCATCACTGACAGCTCTGTGTGATTTCACTTTTTTAAATTTAAGATTGAAAATATACTTTCTCTTTTTCCATTTGGCAGACCCCCAGCTGATTCACCTTACTTTCTCTCTCTATCGAGTCACCAGAGTCAGGTAACACAATGAACTCTTCTGTCTTACTCTTCTGGCTAAGTGTGATGCAGAACCAAACTTAGGATAGCCCTAAGACGCAGCCTGTTTCTCTGCAGCCCATCTGTCTGTAGCTCTGTCTGTACAGCACAGTGCACTGTTTTGTTCCAGGTGCCCAATGCAGACCCTGACCTGCACCGCAGGCACATAGAGCGTACCCGGCGGGAGGCACAGCTGGCAGCACTGCAGTATGAGGAGGAAAGGATGAGAACAAAGCAGATCCAGAGAGAAGCTGTTCTCGACTTTGTTAAGGTACCTTTCCTTTAGTCCTCAGTAGATTCCAAACTTTTATCATTTTCTTTAATGAAAATGAATTGCTATGGTCATTAACACTTGCATACTGCACTCTTGGGCATGCGTGGTGTTTTATAAAGCAAATGAAGAAGCAGCTAGGGTTTGAGCTGCCTATGAAGCGAGGCTTTTCGTTAACAACTATCATAATGCCCTGCTAATATTGTGCAGAAAATAGTTGTTTCTTTTTAATTATTGAAGAAAATCAGCTCAGTCTTTCAGTTAAAAATGTACCAAAATGCATCTTCATCAACAAGCCTTCTTGTTTTTTTCTTCTGTTGCCTTTGTTATTCATGAGAACTTTGTTCTCAGCAGTGGAATTCCTCCCTTGGGTTATGTTTTGAGTCTGTTATGCCTCTTTAAGATGCAAAAACGATTTGGGCTTTTTGTTTTCATACAATATAAAGGCTGGCTTTTGACTAATAATATTAGTGAAGTTTCAGCTAGTGGAAACTTGCAATCAGTCTGGTACATGTTTTATTTAAAAACTAGGACTGTTTCTGTTTTGAAACTTCTTAATTACGCTGTAATATTCAGAGCTTTTGTTTCTCTGTCTTATTCTTTTAAATTGGTCTTTTTTTCTTTCTGTATAGCAAAAAGCATCCTTAAGTCCTCAGAAGCCAAGTCCTCTGGATAGTGAGGTAAGACTCCAGTAAGAGCATTACTTTTCTCCAGGGGACAAAAAAAGAGGCTATCTCAGAAATCAGAGGTTTTCCTGTTTGTAGAGAGCACTTCAGGACTGGGTTATAGCATAGCATTTCACATTTAATCAGCCCTTGGTTGACACCCCAAGCACACACCTCCCCTTGGATCAGTTTAATATTTCCTTCTGTCCGTGCAGATTGCCTGTCTGAGTGTTTTGTTTTCCTGTATGTTTTCTATGTCCTATATGGAAAATGGATTTCACGTTCCATTTCAAGGTGCTGCTTGGAAGCAATACAGATCACTTTCTAATGGGAGCACGCAGGCAGGTTTTAGTGGTGCAGTCATTTCTCGTTCACCAGTCAGTTTCCTCCATTTGCCTGTTGTAATTCCAGTTATCCCAGAATGATCAGCTATTTTTATTTTTGAGATCTGTTTACTTATTCAAAAGAAAAGAGCTTTATTTTAATATCATTTTATAGGCGAAGGCAATAAAAAGGGGACAAGAAATCACGCAGAGCTCAGTCTTCTAAGATGTACAGAATGAGCCAGTGACATCTGCTCACTGTGTGCATCACGTGTCGGTGTAATAAGTGCTCTTCCACTGCTTGCCATCCCCTCTTACATGAGGGAAATTAATTCACGTGGCAGCGTTAATCAGATCAAAACCTTTAACAGCATAATGCAACTCTATTTATATATTTATTAATGCAAACATAATTATCTCTTCAGAAGCATTTTTCACCTTATTTTTGCTTTGAAAATTACCAAAACGAGGGATATTTGAAATAGTCTTTGCTCCTTTTTGCTCTTCTTAATGTTCTTTTGTTCTGAATGTATTCTTTTAAAGGGTCCTTTGTTCTCCCATGCTAAAAACTGAATACGTGGTTGTCTGTATGTGCTTGAGACAACACAGCAGGGTAATTGATTCCTTAAGTGATAGGGGTACCCTGTAATTCCTGGGTCATGTGGCTGTGTATTCCTACGCAGTTTTGGCTGCTGTATGGAACTGTCGAAGCAGTGCCTCACAGTGCTATAAACAAGCAGCACGTGTTCCAAAATGTCTGTCTGTTCACAGCTGTGTCGTTCTGTTTGTTTCTGACATTACTCCATCTCTCCCACCTCCCAGTGTCCCTTTCCATCCAGAAGGTCTCAGCATACTGATGATAGTGCCTTGTTAGTGGTAAGATCCTGCACGCAACAGCCTTTTTCTGTGGCAGATTCTGGAACATGAAAATAATGATGTGTTACGGTTGTCTCTGATTAGACCAGCTCTTTCAGATCTAATCTAAATAGCATAAAACATGACCTCTTGTTTCAAAAGTGACTTATCTTGAGTATGCTGATGTTTGTACTGTCAGCCATTTCTTAATAATATAGTGATGTTTTCCTGCAGAATAATTAAAGCTTGCTTTTTGCTAAGAGCAGAAGGAAATTACTGCTAATGAAGAACAATTTATAAAATTCAAAATTGACCTCTGGTAGCATTACATTGATTTGCCCTCCATTTAGCTCGCTTCCTAATTGATGAGCTCTCCAGTGTCAAATAAACAACTGGGTGCTCTGAATACAGCCCCCACTTGAGCTTTGTTTGCGTCCTGCACCGAGTGCTTGGCATGGAGTGGTGTCCTGGGAACCACAGCACAGCAAGGGGGAAATATTGCTGTACACATAAGTGCTAAAAGTCTGAGCTATTCCTCGTTCTCTGCCGCTGGTTAGTGATGAAGATGTCTTTCTTACCTATTTTGAACACTAGCAAAAAGGAAAACTTTTATGTGCTTCATGTTTTATGCTATTTCTTCTTTTATGGCATCTTACTGATGCAGCATAATTAAAGAATATTATTAATGCCACAATCCTTGTCTGTAGAAGGAGAATACACTTGATTTGCCTGCTGTTGCATGACTGCATGCCTGGGACTTATGTTCTTAGCTCACGTGCATCCCCACCACCTACCTGAATTCTCTGTAGGCAGTGCTCTCAGAACACATCTCTTAGAACGTGTTGGTCAGTGTTTTCTCTCTTCATTCAGACGTCTTGGTGTTCTGCTGTCTCATGCCCAGCACTGTGAGGGGGCAGAAGAAGGCTCCTTGTGAAAGCAATGTGTTGTGATCGTGCTTGTACCTGTTGACAGAAATCACACTCAGCCAATCTAAATGCAAAAGCTCCTTTATATGCTGTAAGAACCAGGAGAGCAGACGTGGGTTTTGTGAAGTACTGACAGTGAATTCATCTTCAGAATGTATTTCAAAGATGATACGTTTTAAGGACCCCTTTTATTTGTTAGTGTCATCCCATGGTTTTTATTGTACTGAATTCTGGGTTGTATACTTGGAAGTTGAGCAAACTGATTGCTAAAAATTCCATTCACGGTGGTGTCTTTTGTTCCTTTATCCAGGTTGAATCCATGCACAAAAAAGGGGCTGGGGGAAAAAGTGGCCGGGCTGGCAGGGGAAGTTGGAACCATATTTCAAAACAGTTTCTGCATTAAATTTTCTTGGGATTTCTTGCTCTTTTTCAGCAGCTCTAAACTCTGCATCCCATACATCATGCTTTCAGGGTATGAAACACTGGTTTTCTGAACTATGGAAGTATGATCTGCATATCTGTGCTGCAGTGGAAATGCATACTGTGTCTAATGATGACAGATGCCAGGACAGCTGCTCGTAGGGATTGCTGTGACTGGAACGTGTAGCTCTGGGCAGCTCATGAATTTGCAGCAGTTGTTTTTTTCCACTACTGTATTTTGTACGTCAAAAACTTGTTTAACAGCAAGGAATCGATCACTGGTTTGCTTAAAAAACAGAAGTAGTCATAAGAGTTGAAATTTTACTTTTACCCTTTTTAATTCTGTTGCATTTCCTTGACATTTTGTCTGTTCCTATGGGCTTGAAGTGTAGCTAGATCTAAGTTCTGAGGCTGGTTTTTTTTCCTTCAATGAAGCATAGGGGCATTCATATCACAGCACCATTTGCTACTGACAGTTCAGTGCATTTTTTCCATTTACATCCTTTTCTCTGTATCATTTCCTGTGCCTAAACACTGCATGCCAATAAAGCTGCATTCTGTCTATTGGATTTTCCACTAATTGTTCCAAAAAAATTAATAGTTACCTCGAATGCAAGTCCTTTATTTTGGTAGTTCTTCAGGGGTCGTTACCTCTTTAGCAGAAAAATTCCTAGAAGTCAAATTTAAGCTGTTATTTTCCTTTTTAAATCTCATCACGTTTCTGTTGCCATTTAACGCAGATTGAAATGCATTTGTGTTGCACAGTTTGCTCTGGTCATTCCTTCCCATTGGTAGGTACTTTCAGGACAGCCTGTTTCAGCTCACAAAATGGCTTTCCATGCCTTCTGTGAGCATATACAGTTTACTTGCTTGTTCCTTCTGCATCCCTGTGATGTGATGCAAAGTGGGGTTTGGCTATAGGACTTGAGTGCGTGTTGTGATGGATTTCACTGTGGTGATTTATAACAGCCAGACTAACTAAAGCTTTGCTCACAGACAGTTGCTGGCCTCTCTGAGAAAACCTGCAGTGTAACTCAGTGCTGTATCACTCATATCCCATTTGCCATTCTCACCAGAGTACTCTCACTGCAGTTGGGAGTGCTTATTAATACGGCATCAATGCTTCAGACTTGGGGTAGTGATTTCAGTCTTGCCTGCTTTTGAATCTCATCTTTCCCCAGATGGCTTTTTTTCCCCTCTACTACTGCACGTTACAAGGTGGGTTAGTGGGAGATGGATACTAAAGGCACCACTGTTCTCACAAACTGCTTCTCAGTTTGTCACAAAGCCTGTGAAATGCCCAGTGGGCACCAGGCAGCTGCTGTGACCTGTGTGTAACACTCATGTTACTGCTGCTGTTTTGGCTGCCTTCGTTGTGTTTTCTTCTTGAGGTCTCAAATGTGACCTGGGACCATCATCACAGTTAGCACGTGGGATCTCTGAGACATTTGAAGTTAAGCCTTTTGGGCATCGGTGTGCTACAAGTAATAACAGCATGAGAAAAGTAAGCATGACTTGAATTATGCTAACTTGTGCCCTGGAGGTTTCTCTCAGAAGTTATCGTCCATTTGTATGCTCAGACAACTGACAATCAAACTGATGTGAAATAGCCTTATTTTTAGTTAGTGCAGAGTCGTAGTTGGGCTCTGCTTTGGCATTCTTTCTATCTAAAGTTGTTTCTGGCTGGGGACGTTTCTCTAACTTCATTGCTACGCCTAGAAATGAAGAGCAGCGTGTGCAGTCCTAAGTCACAATTACGGCACCCTGATTCTTCTTGTATTGCAGCTGCCTTCTCTTACAGTTGTTCTTTGCCTCACTTCTTCCTCTTTTGCCTCCCTTTCTTTTCTCGCTGTCCCTGACAGAATGGCTTTGAGCCTCTCTTTGTGTTTGAGATTGACAGTAACACCAATACCATTAAGAGAAGGCCAGGGACTCACAAACAGGTGAAGAGCATGCGCTGTGTTGCTGTTGTGCTTCCCTTACCCTCTGTGCTGCGTTCCCCCCTTTGCCCACTGCTGGGTTTGTGGATTGTGACTGCTGCTTGTTAGTCTGTGTCAAGGTTGTCCTGCTCTTTTTGCACAGGAATAAAGATGCATTCATGTCACAGACCACCACCATTTGTTTTATTTTGCTTTTTGCTATACTAGCTGGTACGTTTGCTGAAATGACATTTTGAAACTTGTAAAGCAAATGAATGGAAACAGCAAAAAAAGTGAGCGAAGGAGGCTGTTCTGAGGATCAGCTGCTGTCTGCATGGGGCATGAAGGTGTTTGTGTAAGGTTTGCCCTGTCTGTAACATCTCCTTCCATGTGTAATTCACAAAGATCAGCATTAGGTATCAGTGGCAGAACAAACGCGGTCCTTTAGCCCATTAAATGTGAGTCTCTCTGATCTTACAGAGTTGGTAGATTAACTTGAAGCATTAAAAAGAAAAGCATTTATTTAGAGTAGTGGCTCAGGATGGGCTGTTAGAGGGTACACTTTCCTTCAGGTGTTTCTTTAGGAAGTGCTTACCTGCTTGTCGTTCAGTTTTGCTTCCGATGGCACATTGTTGTGTGTAAAAAGGAAAGTTTCACCTCCCAAGCTCATTAGCCAGAAAGTTCAGGAGGGTAGGAAGGCTTCAACCACAGTTTGAAAAGCAAATACCTGTTGTGCCTGCCTTTTGCTTTTTAAGTGTTTCCAAGCACGTGACCATGATCACCTCTTCCTTTCTGACCTGGTTACTCAGTTCCAGCTGTGCATGTGCCCTACCAGCTGCTTGCTAACACTGCTGCTGCCTTGTCTTTCTTTCTGCATTCAGTCCCTCTCAGGGTTGAATCAAGACAGCTGTGCTACTGCCCTGCCTAACGCCTCTGCCCTCAGTCCTGCCAAGGTATCTCTTGCTATTATCATTCACCAATAAAGCCTACAAAAAACTGGGATCCACACATCTGTTTTAACAGGTGTTGGTATGTCAGCTTCTAGTCAGAAGTTCAGGTAGGGTATGAACCTGATTTACATGATTAAACTGTAATAGCTGTGACCTCATCTTAGCTTTAGGCTGTGTCTAAGCTAAAAAACATGGTAACCCTTCTGCTCCTCGTTGTCTTTGATGTTGCTTTTTATTTACAAGATGATTTTCTCTTAACAAAGTCGAGTTTATCACAGTACTTCTACTGTGTTCTTTACTGGCTTGCTTTTCCCATTGAGTATGGGTATCCTATAATTTTCTTCTGTGGACACTGCTATTCTGAGTGCATTCATCATGAGAAATTGGTCTGTGTTAAGTACTACAGTAAGATTAAAGTGTATTTTGCTAGGGAAATTGATATTCAGTGAATAGCAGTTCTGCATTATCAAGGTGTCACAGTCTGTGCATTCTTATCCGTGCTGCTGTTATGCAAGTGTAGCATGTTCTTTAATTAGCTGCTCTGGCTGTGCCCCCTCTGCAAAGGATACTTAGCATCTTGGTGAGAAGGAGTAAACAAAGAGAGAATTGCACTGTCAGTGCTGTTTCATCACTTCTTCCTCAGAAAAGAGTAATTGTGGCATTTCTGCAAACAAAAAAGCTAGCTGCTTTCTGCAGAGATAAGGCTTGGGGAACAACTTGTGTTTGTCACGTCTGGCTTTTCATTCTGAAGTATGTTTACATGGATGGTGCCTTGCATAAAACACAGCAAATAGTAAAGATGTAGTCACAACTTCTTCCAGATTAGGACCATTTATGTTCTTCTACTTTTTTGTCTACAGAGTGATGACAGATCCACCATCTCTCCTGGCTCACCCTCCACTCAGACAGGTAACAGGGAAAGGAAGCAAAGCTTCTGAAAAACGAGATCAAATCATCTGCCTGCACATTTGTTCTATGAGAAGGGAGTGCTGTGTGTGGCACTGCTGTGCTTGAGAGCTTACCCACTGATTTAGGTCTCCTTGAAAACACGCGAGGGGAGAGGCAGCAGGGCTGAAGCATGTCCTCAGGGACAGTGTAGGCTTTGGCCCACAGATCCATTCAGCTGCAGGCAGAACAGTTGTTGGAAGTGGTATGTGGAATGTGCTTTGCATGGCGAGTGTCCTTGGAAGTGCCTTTTCCTGCTCTATGCTTTTATCATGCATGCATGTAATTTATTTTGTCATTATATTAAAATTTGGGTTTTTTTAATTGCCACGTTGCTGAACCCATTTCCTATTTAAATTCTAACAGTTTCCTTCTTCCTCATTTCCTTTCCTGTGCCTTCCCACATTTGTTTAGTCCACCTTTCCCCTGCACATCCTGGTCATGCAGCCCTGCCTTCCTATAGAAACCCTTCCCAGCGACCCGAGAGTTTCCTTTTTCGAGCAGCTGTCAGGGATGAAGCAAACAAAGGTAGGTTATGTAACTCACACATCAGCCTGTTTTGCATTGCCTCTTATTAACGTTTGCCTTACCTAGGTTTTGCACTGCTCTGTTACTTCAGGTCATTATCATCAAACTAGCTTTAGGGTTCAGTTTGCAAACATGTGGCCCTATAAATACTTTGTGAACAACCACTGTAGTTGTGAAAATGTGGGAATCTGTTCTTCTTGGTCTTTCTCCTTATGCCTGCAAAGGTAGCAAGGAAATGCCATGCAAGCCTTCAACAAGTTACAAATGCAGCTTGATAGAATTTGCATTATATGTAACAGCATATGGCAAAATTGCAAAGCCTAAAAGGCTAAACTCTTTCAACATACTTCATCTGTCAAAACTTTGTCCTCTTTTTGTGAATGATTGGTAGCCAGCAGAAACAACAACATCTAAAGGGAAAAGAAGATGTGCTAGGAAACACCTCGTTTAGATTAGCAGGTCATTAGTTTGATAGGTTAATAGGCTTTTAAAGAAGCAGATTTGTGAAATGGAATGCCCTGTACCCATTCTGGAACGTTGTGGGTGTGTAATGCAGCAGTGGAGGGCAGTCAGCCAAACCATACTTACTGATTTCTCTCCATGCCATTTTTTCAGTGATTGCTTCATCATCTTCCCGTGCCTTGTCTCCTGCTAATGATTCTGCAGACACCAGAGTTAGGCAGAGCTCCAAGCAGCGTGAGGAGGAGCTGGAGCTGATAGAGCAGCTACGTAAGGTAAGAGCTGACAAAGCCAGTGAAGCTCTCGTTGTGTGCCGTCATGTTAAAGCTGCCCTTGTGTTCCAGACTGATTGCACTGAGCCAGTTATGGGAAGGAGTCGACCAAAATTGAATGGCACTGTGCAAGCTGAGTGTTTCTTTCAGATGGAGGCACTGGAGGTTGTTGTTTTTTATTGTGGATAAAGTTAGATCCAGATGCAGTGAAATACACAGCTTCTGGCTGGCCAGTGATCTCTGCTGTTAGATCTTTTGCTTATCACCCTTCGTACTTGTGGGGAGCTCCCTGGGAAGCTCCCTCAGTGTCTTTCCTTTTAATCTCTTTATACATTTCATCTTTGCTATAAAGCCTAGAGAAAAGCAGGTGGCATGCAGGGACTGCTGCCAGTCGTGATGACAGCATACTTTCCTTGTGTGCTCTGAATCTACCTGTTGACTCTTGCTTTATGCTTAGTTAATTGTAGAATATCTGTGGCAAAAATCTTCCTTACATTCAGGCTTTTTGTTGGTTGAGGGCCAGTATGCCCTGCATTGTGCCCTGACATTGGCTGATACTGACTATGCCACAGGGCATTAAGGTAGTGCTCTGCTTTGCCCCAGGCACACTTGTGCTGTCTGTGAAGGGATTCCTTGAAGTGCTCTAATGCTCTGAGCTTTCTCAATAAATGAGAATTCCTTTCTAAAGCTGATTTTAAAAGCTGTAAGCATCCCAGGTAGGCAGAGAGTTAGTTCTTTCTCTGCAAACTGTCCGAGTAAGGACAATCTGCTCCCTCTAAAAGGAGAAAGCTCTCTTAAGTAAAATGAAACAAAACTCAGCGTTTGTAGAGCCTTTCATCTCTTATCTCAGAATGCTTTACATGCAGTCTCTCTCTTGTTCTGCTTCCTAGGTAAGATTAAATCTTTTTTGTATACTTAAGATTTTAGATTTAACTTGGTGAAATCTGCACAGCATTTGAAGTAAAACCTGATTTGAATTTATGTTCATTCCTTAAATGTTAACTACATCATTTTTAAAAACTCTACTAAGCAATTGTCTGTTTTTTTTCTTTACTGAGACCTTTATTAGCTGTATCGTCCTCCAGTCGACAGTTATTTTCAGTTCCCTTTGCAGAGCCGTTTGCTGAGAATGTGAAGGATTAGGAATATTGTTCTTAGACCCTGATTTCTGTTATTTTTGGAGAATGGTTGTGTTAATCCCAATGTGCTGTGAGAAGAAAACTGTTCATCATTGAACTCAGGTGCTCCCAGACCGTGTTCAGCTCTGGCCCAGTGCAGTGCAGGAGCCGTCTTGGTGTCGCTCAGAAAACTGTTCCAACCAGCCTGGAGAACAGACAGGGAGTTGTAACACAAATGCTTCTGCTCTTAAAAAATGTTCTGCAGACTGAAACGCTTGGAAACCAGCACTGAATGTTTGTGTCCGTGTTCATTTTCCACAGAATATCGAATCACGGTTGAAAGTGTCGCTGCCCAGTGATCTTGGAGCAGCTCTCACGGACGGCGTTGTTCTGTGCCACCTGGCTAACCACGTCCGGCCTCGCTCTGTCCCCAGCATCCACGTCCCCTCACCTGCTGTTGTAAGTATGTCACAATGACAGCGTTTTGTAGGGGTCCAAAACCCTTCCAGCAAAGATCTGTAATCCAGGCAAGTGTGAAATTCATTATTTTCATTGGTGAACGTGCGTGACAGCCTTTCTGTGCAGTGTCTGTGGTTTCACTTAAAGCCTACGGGTTTGGGTTTGTTTCATTTAAATAAAGTTACTTCTGGTACAGATTTCCAGAAATCATTAGGATTTTCATGTCCTCCCCATGTTAACTTAAGAAGTAGTAAAATAAGAGACGGTTAATCCTGAAAAACAAAATAGGATGTTTCAGAAGATCAAAAGATCTGAGAAATTCAGGAAAACACAGAGAGAAGCACAACGTTCCCTGCATTATTTGAGATCCTGCTGCACAGAACAGCAAGAACAAGCAGAGAGGCCAAAATGATTCCTGTATCCATTTCACAGCACTACGAATTTCTCCGCTTAGGAATGTCAGCAGAGCACACTTGAGCTGTGTTTGCATGTGCTTGGAGAACAGCATCTCCTGGAGCAAAGTAAATCCACTCAGACCTTTGTGATAAGAAAGGAAAAAGCATTGTTTTATCTGGGGGCTGTTCAGAGCAAGAAAAGAAGTGCACAGAGAAGTTTGGCAACTGAGGAACTTGTTCCTCTTACCTAACTGCAGTGTTTTTGTAAGGCAACGAAGGTAATATATTATTGGGTGCATTATTGTGTATCACCTTGGGAGAGCTCAGAATTAAAGTGGGATGCAGAGCTGTGACACAGCGACAAATTAATTACAGTCACCTGTCAACCAAAAAAATAACAGGTATGTGGCAGTCAAAAGGTTCAGTGGGAACATTTAGGATCAGCAACTTGGAAGTACAGCAGAGAGACAAACTGCTTGTGATGCACCTTCACATCATCTTAGAACTAAATAAATAGGGGAAGAAGTTTTTCCTGTGAGAAGAGTTTGAAACAAGCACGTTGTTTGCTTTTTTTTTAATTTGGAGTCAGTCCTTGTGTTGGTTGGAATTTGAACTGGCACTTACAGGGCTGCATACTGTATCATTGTGGTTCCTCCTGCTTGGAATGATGTGAACAAGGAGATGTCTTCATTATTTTGAGCTGCACACGCCAACGTTTTAGGCAGATTGTGGAATCATTAAGAGAAATGCAGACAGCTGCTATTCACGATGCTGGAGTTGTCAAGAATATCTTCTCAATGGCCTGGTTTTATGTGCTGCTGAATATTCTGCTACAAGTTAAATCATGGCTTTGTCATCGATGTCGCAGAAGAGGCGGCCTGTGGCTGGATGGCTCCAGCAGCAGAAGAGGCATCGCGTCTTTGCTCAGTCACAATGTGGTCTTTGTGCTCCCTCCGTCCTGCAGGAGAAAGAAGGCAGCAATAGCCTTTAACCTGCTTTCTTGGTGGGGTACGTGGCAGGCTGGGGGGCAGAGGAAGAGCCCCAGCGGTCTGCTGTTCCCCCCTCTGAAGGAAAACCACTGAACTCGCAGGCTGCTGCTGCACACACTGTGGGTAGCTTGTGTGAAGGAACAGGAAGCTTGTGTCTCTTTAATCAGAATAAACTTCAGGAATAGGAACAAGACAGAGCTGTGCAGTGCTGTGTCCATGTAGAGGTGAGAAAGCCAACTATGCAGAAAAAACTGACTTGAAAAGTGACAGTGAATCCATCTGCAGGAGGCTTGTATGCAGCAAGCCGCAGTGCTGGTTTTATTCCATGGTATCTGGGTTCATCTAGCCTTCATTTTTTTATCTCTTTCTTAACTGAAACCAGATTTTCAGTATTTATTTAACACAGTAATCCAGAATGGACTCCAAGTTGCTTCATGTCATTAAACTGTGCTGAAATCACGGCACAGGTGCTACGTGTGTGTATGTTTCATTCAGTATGTGTCTTAAATTATCCCATTACAGTCACTAAAATGTTAGCCTGTTTTATGTAACACTGTGCACTGATACAGTACAGGTTAGAGTTGCCTTAAAAAATCATCCAGTATTCATAAAGTAGCTTTTCAGAAAGCTTGGAACTTGCTTTTCTAAGCAAACTGCAGCACAGCCTGGTTTGAATGATACAAACTTACTGCTGTGTGGGTTTTTTTTTTGGCAAAGAGGTTTATTAAGAGTTTCATTAAAATTAAAATCCTCCCAATTAAGAGCACTTTGCCTGCTTCTTTTGCAGCCTAAGCTCACAATGGCAAAATGCAGACGAAACGTGGAGAATTTCTTGGAAGCTTGCCGAAGGATCGGAGTGCCTCAGGTACATTTTTCTGCTGTTCTGATGTTAAGGTGCAGATGTGATTTTGTGTTTTTATGGTCAGGAAAAGAAATCAGTGTTCCTTGAGACATCTGATGAAAATGAGGTGATTAAAAGTTCAGGAGGCTCACATGTGAGGTATGCATTACTGTGTAGATAAGACCCTGCGTTGTCTTCTCCAGTAAAAAGAAGTTGGGTGTAGTTTGTCTGTCACAGGTCTGATTCACTGACTGCTGTGCCTTAAGTGCAGAACAGCTGGGTGCAGCTTGAGCCTGGCTTTAGAACTGCAAGGTACTTGATAAAGACAATTCATTTTTCTCAATATTAGGTATTTGGCAGCTTAAAAGTAGGATAAAACTTGGATGATGTTTTGCATGTGTAACTTCAACTCCAAAGCATTTGATGTTCCTTCAGAACAATCCTTTTGTGTGAACATCTGTACCACCTTGCCAAGAAGTCTCACTGTTGTTGGCCTTTCTCTGACAGTAGCTACCTTTGCACAGATCTCATTCTCTGTGCTAAGAACCAGAGCTAGAACTCCAATCTCTGATTTTCTTTCTCTCTTCTGAAATGAGTCCTGTTACTGTTTTATGCTGTTCTCTCCTTTCCTCTTTGTCTTATTCAGCGGCTGCTTCAACACAAATGATTTCAATGTCATGTTTTTTATTTTTCTTCTAGTGTATAAATGTGATTGGTTTCTTATACATACACAGTGTTTCTGCTGTAGGTGCTGTTTTCTTTTTTATGTATAGTGAAAGGGAAAAGTAGACCCAGTGACTCATTTCCCTGCTGTTTCTAAAAGCAGTGCTCTCAAGTCAATCGTGCAGTATTTTCTGATAGCTTCACACAAAGGCATTTGAGCCATTGGGATTTTAGGATAGAATATTTATTGAGCTGCCCAGCAGTTTCACATGACTCACTGGTGAATGGCGTTGGAACGTGGTAGGAAGTCATCAATGATCGTTCATGTTCTGAGACGATGAGGTATTTTAGTCCCTTAAGAAACTGGAGCCTGCGACTCCCAGCAGGACTGCACAGTATAGATCCTGGAGCAGAATGGTTCAATCCCATTGCAGCTCCCCTGGTCACAGCTCTGTTGACACGGAGATGTAATTGTTATGGGATTTGAGTACAAAGCTGATCTCTGAAATGGCGCGCCTTTAAAAACAAGAAAAGAGCACTCAGGGCAAGAGTCTCCTATAGACCCGCTCTGCTCCATCTACTGCACCTTCTGTTTAGGATCCTCCTGTTTTTCTCAGTTCTCCTGCTTTAATGTGAAAGAGTTGAAGGAGAATGTCTCTGGGGAAACCCACTGCAGTACCCCAGCTGAATTCTAAAGCTGCTCTCACATGTCTACATTACATGTCTGCTGAGATGAGAAGTAAGATATCAGTATGAAGGAACGGCGTGGCAGCCTCGCGTATTTCTGCTGAAAAGATGCCTGCAGCTATTTAGCTATTTCTTTTCATTTGAATTCCAATTACAAAAAATGAAGGGCTTGCTGGAAGCATGGATCTATGCAGAAATACCTTCTAAGAGGAATGCCACTTTACGTAGAAGGTTACTTTTAGAAAATAGAGTGAAGCAGCCATTTCCACAGAACTTTGCTGGCCAGTGCTGTGGCATGAAAAGAAACCTCCAGCTGAGCAGATTGGTGTGCATCTAGATTTCACTGATGTGCAGCAGGCAAGTGAGACACTGTGGGAACGGTTACAGAGCACTAAAACTCTAATTAGCAATAGATTAAACTCTAATTAGTAATAGATATTTCTGCAGAATGCTGCATTCAAGGATCAGTTACACAAAAAGAATCCCTTCTGCTGTTTTCATTAATTATGGTACGTGTGGAGGCTGAGCACGAGCACTCAGTGCCAGAAGCATGTCACAAAGCTGAGCTGCAGGCTGTTTGCCCTGCAGAAATGGCTTTCACTAGGGCACGTGTGAACTGCTCTGTTTTTAACTGCCAAGATGGTTCCATGTGTAAGTTGTGGAGGTTACAGGCTCCTCGCTGAGCACTGTGTATCTGCACTTTGTGTTCTTTGAAATGGGGAGTTGTACAGATTGCTTTGTGAGAAATAACCGTGTTACACTTCTTGAACATGCAGATAATCTGAAATGTCTGACTGACTGCTTAGTGGATGTTGCTATGGCTAACTGACTGACCTTTTTTTCTGTCTGTTTTCCCTTCCTGCTTACACACTCTGGACAGGACAATCTTTGTTCCCCTTCTGACATTCTTCAGCTAAACCTCAGCGTTAAAAGAACAGTTGAGACTCTTCTTTCCCTGGGGACAGATTCAGAAGAATCCAGTCTTCTCTCCCTTTCTATTCAGCTCTGGGGCTTTGTGGTGTTTTACTGTACTCTGATGCTAATGCTCTGTATGGTCTATCGCTGCGTCTTTTTCCTCTAGCTGAGGGACGGTGCTGCTGTTTCCTCCCTCCATCACTCCAGTTCTCTGTAAAGGATTTTGGGTTTTGTCAAGACCGTGTGTACAAAGTGCTCTTTCTCACTTATGGGAGAGAAGTAACGGAGGTGACAAACGCAGTGTGTGAACACATCGATGCACCCACACAACCACCTGTGGCAGAACTCACGTTTGTGTTTGCTGTGTGACGTTGAGCAGATGTAATGCTAGGGGAGGAGGTGCTGCCTGTGGGCTGGAGCAGGGGCCCGAGCTGTAGGGACACACAGGTGTGTGCTACAGGCTGACTGCTGGTGAGGGATCTAGCACTAGGAGAACTGCACTGTCAGTTTGTGTCGGTTTCCCTGTCTGTATGATTAGAACTGCACCCAGTTCATTTGTATCAGTTTGGTAAATTGCTTCCAGATTCTGATGAAAGAGGTGTTAAACAACACAAAGTATTTTGAACATCAGTGACCTTGATTAGCTCTCACAGTCTTAGGAGTCGTGGTCTGATAAGTTTTGTCCACAAAATCTTGGGATGTTTTTTCAGATCCCAGCTCCTTATCCCTGCTTCTGAGAGAATTGGACTTTCCTTTTGATAGACTGCCATGTTTTATGTATGAGTCAGGGGTTTTAAAATAGCTGTCCATGAATCCTGAGCTTTTTGAGCTTCATAACAGATCAAAGTGGAGGTTTGCAGAGAAACTGAACTCTCTGAACAGCTCTGAAAGAAAACCTTTCTGGCACAGAAGGAAAAATCCTTTGGGTTCTATCAGATGCCACAGGATTGCCATAGCATTTTGCTGTGCTCTGGATGAAACTTAACAAAGATTTCCTGAGTTGGCACTTGATTGTGGTTGTTTTCAGAAATGTCAGTATCACACAGAAATACCCAACCTGGCTGTGTGTTCAGCTCCCTCTTTATTGTTACACAAATCTCAGGTAGTCCTCTGCACAGCTTTAAAGCTTTTCCCTCCTCTGGAAAAGCATCCCAGTGCTTTAATGTGTTTCTCAGGGACATCTCAGGACTTGAGGGCACTTCCCATGCCACGTGCAAAAGGCCACGTCTCCTCAGAGTGTAGGTTGGTTCAGGGAGCTCTGGTCAGAGGTCAGATGCAGGTAAGTGCTAAGTAACAGGCCTGTTCTGAATGGGACTTCAGGGCCTGTTTGTTACACCTGAAAATGCAGTCAGCAGTTCGTAAGCCCTGGTGAGTGGTGATGGCACTCCTGCATTAACCTGGCAACAACTCTCAAGCACAATTTCAGATGCACAGAGGTTCAGCTGCAAATATTGCCACTACCAGTTATGTGTAGGTGGATCTCACAAGCTCTTGTAACATGAAGTGAATATTTAGCAAAGGAGCAAGTGGAGGAGCTGATGCCCTCTTCCCAAAGCACACTGTGACTGGCACAAGACGTTCTGCCCAAGCAAAGCATTACTGAGGAAAGAGGGCACCTTTGGTGGGGGGGTGTTTGTTTTTAAATAAGCTATTTTTGCACTGTTTACTGGTGTGAACTAAAATGAACTCTGTTCCTATGTTTCTTACCTTCTTCTAATGAACACTGTGATAAAAGCTGCCAGGGGTCTCACACTAACCGTGCCTTCCCGTTCTTAAGTCCTGTTTCCGCAGCTATTGCTGTGGTATGGATTCTTTCCAAAGCTCTTCCCCTTATCTACTTGCATACCTAAGGAACAAAAAGAAAGGTAATAAACACTTGTTCCAGTTTACAAGTATTTTCTCACAAAGCACATGGTTTCAAAAGAACTGTTCTGCTGGAAGAGAAGCGTTTCGGCTGGATCAGCTGCCTGCCCGCAGCGCTTCCAGCCTGGGCTGTTTCTCTCCGCTCGGAGCTTTGTGGGAGGAGCGTTGACTGCTGGTGTTTATGCTGAAGGATTTCTTTAATGGAGAATTGGTAAAGATGCAAAGAGTGGAGGAATGCAGGGTGCTGCAGAGCTGACTCGTGGAAAAGGAATCTCTATAGCTTTGTAGGAAGAACACAGCTTGGGGGTTTTTGTAGAGGTACAGAGGACTGCTGGGCACGCACGTCCCTGGATGACTGCTGTGGGCTGAGGATGGCCCCCCTGTGCCAAGGACTTGTGTAGGATGAGGCTTTAAATCCGAGACTGAGAACAGCGTAATTCTTAATAAACACTTTGAAACCCTTTTGCACTTTGTGTATTACTCTTATTCTTCAGAATGACTTTGGAAGCTGCTTAAGTGGGTCTCCTGGCAGTAGTGACTCACATAACGCAGGAGAATATTTGTCCTCAAACCTGCTGTTGATTTCTCATTGCCTTGAACAGGAGAAATGCTGTTTTCTACACTTGTGATCAAAATTATTTCAATCAATGAGAAGCAAGCTGTCTTTTCCTTTTTTTCTTTCCATAAAACAAATGGTGCTTTCTGCTCTTTTGTCCCTCCCAAGGAATTTATGTAATGACAAAGATCACGTCATCCATATGGACAGAAGGGCTTCAGACGGGCAAGATCTCGTTAGGAGAACTGCTTTCAAGCACGGCATTTCCCCTTAGGCTTGTTGTGTGGTGTGTCCATGGCATGCAGAACTATTTAGCTTTCTGCTTTAAAGTTGGGATTTGCTTGCATTTGGTACCAAAGCAAAGCTTGCTGCAGGAGGACTCCCTCAAAAAGTCAGTTGTGTTTTGGAAAGGAAGCTGTGCTACGACAGCGGTTCATCGTGTTGAAGCAGAGCTTTCCCCCTCCTTAAGTTAGCCTGATTTTGATGTCATAAACTCCTGCCATTTCCACACGGGCAGAAATAAAGGATTTTGCTGTTTCTTAATTCTCCCATAGTCCTTCAAATTCTCATTATTTGTTCTGTGTAGTGGCTGCTGAGTGAACATGACCATCAGCCCAGCAGTAGACGTGTACACAGTCGTTACTTACGAGCAGAAGTTTCATTTCATACCTGTGTGTGTGTGTGCTGTCTGTAACATTTCATTTTTCAGTTTCCTTTTCGGTTGAGTGTTTTTCATCCATTTTGTTTTTGTCTTTGTTTTGTTCCCCATTCAGGAGCAATTATGTTTGCCTCTCCATATTTTAGAAGAGAAGGGTTTGACACAGGTAGCTGTGACTGTGCAGGCGCTGCTGGAGCTGGCACCCCCAAAGCAGCAGCAGCTTCACCACTTGTCTGCTGTGTAAAGACCTCCGGGACTTTTGGGTTACCTTGGCTAAGCAGAAGGACGTCAAGACTTTACTGCCCATGCAGTGCATCCAAACACACAGAGCTCTGTTCTAAGGAAACGAGTTTCCGTGATTCCTGACAGGAATGTTTCGCTTCGTTTCTCCATTTTTTTTGGAGATCACCACAGTTTCCAATCACGTTTTGATTAGCGGTAATTTTGCCCCCTGCTGATAAATGGGTGGTGAGGAGGGCAGGGAGTTCCAGGGGCTGTTGGAGCCGGCTGTCGAAATCAACCTTGTAGGTGGAAGACATTGGTGTACAGTGTGGAAAGCTGTTCCCATAGGAATTCATTTCTCTAATTAAAAAAAAGAAAAAGAAAAGGTGGTTGCTGCCGTGGGCACGAGGGGAATGAGATGTCATTCCTTCTCCACGGGATTCAGAGCAAGCTTTCTTTGCCTCATGAGAACAGCAGCTCTTTCCATTTTATAAACATATATGTATATATTTTTTAAAGAATTGCAGCACAATCTAACCAGTACAGTGTTTCGTATCAGGGTCAGTCCTTATGCAGCTGTGTTAGCATATCCTCATTACTGAAGACGTGTAGAAAAGGGGGTTCCCCCCCCCACCCAGAGGAAAAAATACTGCATGTTTTCTCCAAAAGGAACATCTTGGTAAAAGATGCTCAACCAGAACTGTTTGAATTTACTGAGTAGCGGTAGCGTTCTTGCTGGATTTGTGTTCTGTTGGGGCTTCAAGGCATCTATGAAAACCTGAGCAACATCGGGGGTCTCCCACCTCCTCTCACCTCCCCTTGGAGCCCTGTGTGATGCATTTGGTTACTGAGTGGTTTTGTCACATGGCTGCTGAGAATCACGTCTGCATTTTGCCAGCACTGAGGTACAGCCTGCCCTGCGAGTCCATTGGAAGCCGTGCCCAGGTTGTGCATCTGGTGGGGGCTGCAGCACCAGGTGCAGGCGTGCTGAGTGTCACCACTGCTGAGAAATGCATCGTTTTAGGAACATAAGGACTGAATTTCCACAGGTGGGCTGCATGTTGTCAAAGCAGAAGTGCTACAAAAGGTGGCTTCTATTTGTGGGCTTGGCAGGGCTTTAAACCTTTGATGGTGGGTGTTTGTATAGAGGGATGCACTGGTTCTACACAACTGCCATTACTTTCTTCCTCTTTCTTTAACATAAAGATGGAAATTCAGTATACAGGAACAGGAGAGGCAGCAGGAGAGTTTGGAATTACTCTTGGAAGTTAGTGTGCAAAGCACGGGTGGGTAGCTGTCTGTGCTCTTGCCCCAGCAACAAAGCCAAGCTCTCTACCAGATCAATTACATTTTTTTTCCCCCTAAGACAGACCTTGGAAAATGCAGTTCTCCATGCGCACAGTTCTTTTGCTAGTTCTGATCAGTTCAGGCCAGAACAGTGTGCCACTAACACGGGTTGCATGAGGTCTGAGACCAGCATCGTGCCTCGGAGTTATATTGGAAGCAGAATACATCAAGAGGACTTTATAGGTGTAAAGGAAGGAGGAGTGAGGAATGGTGAGCTAAACGCCATTTTCACTGCAGTGAACCTGCCGCAGGGACGCTGGCAAAGACTGCTCTTAGCTGGATTTCTTCCCCTTTTGATTTGCAGCTTTCTTTCCAGTCTGTTTGCTCCATGTCTGAGCGTCAGGACTCACCGTGATGGCTGCTGCATGGGTGTTTCACACAATTCCAGTTGCTCCTTATTGGCATTGGCTGATTGTGTTGCAGGTCACAAAGAACACATGAAAGGGATTTAAAACTGCACAGCTGAAAGGAGAAACCTTTTCGGTCCAACTAGCGCGTTGTAGGAGAAGAGAGCAGCTCCGTGCAGGCCTGCTTTCCTCCCAAGTAGGTTTTATGTTTCACGTAATTCCACTTGCAGGGATTGTTGGGAATTCTTGAGGGGTTACGTAAGTGTCAGGAGTTACTGCTGCAGTTGGTTGGATGGAAGGTTCTGCCACTCACAGCAAGCTGCAGCGTAGCACAGATGTTTCTTGTGTGTCTCTCGTGCAGTTGGAAAGAGGAGGACACTGAATTCATATTAGTTTTAACAGGAGGTCATTTGGATCATATGGGAGCACAGGAGGTCATTTGGATCATATGGGAGCACGTCACTTCTTACTAGCACTCGTTGCCCATGGAGTTTGTGAGGGTGTTGTTTGCTTTAGTCCAGCACTTACAGACAATAACACAATTCACAGCATTCAGGTTGGTGGAAGTTTCATTAATACGAGTTCATAGGAATTAATGGGTTGGAGGTGGGGGGTCTGAGCTGCTGGAAATGGCCGTGTTTGTTGTCTGGTTAGGACAGCCGCTCCGGGCTGCAGGCAGCGCACACACATGGCACCTGAGCCCACCAACAGGCAGTGTCACCTGGCTGTCGCCCCGCTGTCACAAGCAGCAGCTCGCTCCGGCGCTTCCAGATGTCTGTGGCCACGTTAGGTTAACCTGCATAGCCTTGTGTGTTCGTGCTGGCAGATACTAAGTGTTGACCAGACGTTTAGGACAAAAATCCAAGCCTAAAGTTTCATCGTACGGTTTATTTAATGTGTTATACCAAAAAACAGTTCTGTTTTGCAGACTAAGTGGGATTTTTTAGTGTGTTTATGTGCAATTTTTGTTGTGTATAAAATTCTATTTTGTGTGAAGAGGCAATTACCTTTCCTTTCCGGGGCATTCGTGTTGGAGGATGTGGGAGGAATCCATCGGGGCGTTTTGTGCTTTGCTGGTGCTCATCCACCAGCTCTGTCGTGTCACCATCCTTCCTCAAACGATGGTGAGCACTGAGTTTGAGGCTCTGCAATGTTACCCCCCCAAAATCGAGTGGCACTGGCACTGAGGAGTCCCTCACAGCATTGATGTGATGAGGTCAGAACAGTGGGGGTTTGATTCTTCCCCTCATGAAGGAGGGGACTTGGGTGGCCTGGCTGAAATAAACCACAGAGAACTTTTCACACCACCGAGAACTCGTCTGCCATTCTCAGCTGTGACACAGTGGCAAATGGTTCTGTTATCCTTTTACAACTGTAAATGTTCCTTTGGAAAACTAAAACTAAAAAACAAAAAATAAAAAAAGTGTTTTAGGAACAGAGGTCTTCTAAAGTGAATTTAGACATTAAAAAATCCTTTTGTGTAGATACCGTGATGTTTTACAGAGCAATCTAATTTTGTTATTTCTGAAAGCAGTGTAAACGTGTAATTAATAAAGGATTTTAAGGCTTCATCCCATGCTGTAAGTCTGTAAATACATTCCATGATTTCTATGTCTGTTAAATATAAATATGTTTGGATATTGTACACTTTATTTTAAATTGCCTGTATTCTGCCAGTAGCGTGAACTTCCAGCACAATAATAATATAAAAGGAAACCGTGGGTAATTTGAAATAAAGTTGTAAGACTTACATGAACTGTTCTGCCTGCCGTTTCTGTTGTGTGAATGGATGTCCCATCCTCTGTGCCAGCTGCGTATTCACCTTCCACCTCCTCACCTCATCCTGCCTTGGGTTCACTCTGCAGTTCGTAGCCGTGCTGCACGCGGGCTGTGTGCGCTCACTGTCCGTTCAGCAGCCATGTGGCCACAGAACTGCAGTCGGCTCTGATTCCTCACCGACCCCGTGAGGCTCACAAGGAGAGCAGAGACTGAGGCAGCAAATACAGCGGAGAAGCCCGGAGGAGCTGCATGGATGTCAGCATGAACAGAGCTCAGGCAAGAGTGGGTGTGCTGTTCTTGGAGGGTGTGAGTCCCTGTGGGCTGGGGAGGATTGAAAAACTGCCCACCTGACAGGCCTGTAGCACCTAGTGGCCAGACTCGAGGTTTCAGCAGCCCTCAACACTGGAATAACAAACGTGGCTCTACTGTTGCTTTGAATAGTTTTAAATTGTTTTTGAAGAAGAAATATCCCCTCTTGTTACATACAGGCATAGAGCTTGCTGATTTTGGAAGCAGGCTTTGCTGTGTCCATGCAGTTTGTGGGTTTGGGTGTTTGTTTTCTGTTTGAGAGATTAAGCAGTGAAATGGAAGTTTGAATTATTTATGATTTGGTGCAGTTTAACTTCCTACTGCCTCATTCACAGCAGCTCTGGGCCCTTAACGAACCCCGAGAGGTGCTGTGTCACCCTGACGTGGGGAACTGGGCTGCAGGGGAGCCAGGCAGAGGCTGAGGTTGATTTTTATGATTTACTTTATATTTTGTTTGCTGAACAGCAGGTGAAGACACAAGCCCATGTCGTGCTTCAGATTTCAGCTGTTTGATTGCATTACTGAAGTGTGCCTAGAACTTAGCATAAACAGAGAGAGGCCATCCTTCCATTCTGTACTTTTTCCTTAGCTGAAAGTACCAGGAATAGGCGTGCATTCTGGTTTAACCAGCAGTGCTCCAGTAGTAATATCTATACTTCAACTTAGAGTTTGTCTAAAGCACCTGAAATGTCAGCACTCCCTTGACAGTCAGCTCAGCCCAGCAGCCAGGGGCTGGTGCCTGCCTTCCTTCCCTTCAGACGGAGTCCTGAGCCAAAGGCTCTTTGCTCGTGATCTCAGTCATCCTACTTGAACTTCAGAGCTTTTGGCACAGCTTAGCCTGGACACGAGGATGTTTGGATAGGGCCAGCAGAGGATGGTCACAAAAAGCACAGCTTGGCTTGTATGGTTTGAGCTCTCTTCTCTGTAAGATTGTTAGAAACCAGCCAGCTCAGCCCCAGGGCTGATTTTGCTTTGCACACTGTACGTGGCTGCAGCAGTGTCAGAGAAAGGGCTGCCCTTCCAGTTCAATGAAGCAGGGCGTTGCACCCTGCCTGCTGCCTGGTCTCCCCACACGGGTGCTGCAGACAGGATGGTGGGTACGGCTGTGGCACATCAGCTGTCTTTTTCCATGGCTGCTTCCCTCTGTAGGAGGGCATGTAGAGCTATTCTGTCTATGTGCTGACACTCTGCAGTACTGTGGGAATGGAAACCCGCGTGCTTTGACTGCCCTCGTGTTTACACTGCAAACCGTCAGCATTTTTCCCCTGGCTCGACCTACGCTGCCACTGACACCGGGGTGAGCACTGCCTGAGCCCAGATGTGGGTGACCTGGCTTCCTGCCCCGCTCTGAGCCACCGGAGCCACAGCAAACCCCATTGCTTCAGCCAACACCGCGCTTTGGGGGACTGCGGAGGAGGTTCTCAAGGCAGAGCATCTCATGCTGGTGAGTTACTGAGCCGTTAGCAGAATTACTCATGAGCTGTATAAAATACTTCAGAGGATATCGTGTTTCTCATTGCTTTAACGCAGTTTCCGTTTCTACTGAGGAAACGGTGTTTTTGCTGTACAGAGATCATTCAGGGTCTTAAGTTACAGGAGCTTCACCTTAACTGTGCATCGTGAACTCTGTTCTCCAGAATACCCTGAGTTCTATTCCATGGTTTATTTAGTGCTGCTGGACACAGCAGTGCCTTACCCAGTAGCAGCCCTGGAGTACATCTGTGGCCACGTTTCTTAGCGCGTCTTTTTCTTTGCTCCAGGTTTTTCCTTTTTGCCTTTCTCGTGTGACAGATTCTTCTCCTGAGCCTTCCGGAGGTTCTGATAGGGGCCGAGGTTTCTGCGGACCATTGTACCTCTCCACCAGGCCTGCAGCTGGAAGCAGGAGAGAGAGATCTCAGGGGGAACACTGGCACAGGAAAATGGCCGGAGCATCTCGCGCACTCCCCAGCAGCAGGAAGGATCATCTGGCCCATGCTGCAGCTCATGTCCATGTGTAAGCCAAGGGCTTCTGTAGCTGGTGGCAAGAGGAAGGGAGCAGCTCTGTGACTCCATTCCTGTGTCACTCATGCAGAGGGGCTGCTGTGATGAGCACAGCCCTGGATCATCTAAAGAGACTGGCTTTTTGTCTTTTGTTCCCTTCTTAACCCTTCTGCAGGTAGCTGCTGCCTTTGTCTTTGCCAAGGAGAAGGGACAAGTTTAATCTGGCTGGATGTGGATCTGGGCAGCCTGGTTCTAGTGGTTGGTTGCCCATGGCAGGGGGATTGAAACGAGATGATCATTGTGGTCCTTTTTAACCCAGGCCATTCTGTGATTCTATGAATCTGTCCCTCGCTTGTGCCACCTCGCACCAGCCAACTTTCTCAGGCCATTTTCTGCTTGAACAATAGCTGTGGTGCAAATGATTAACTCCGAGCTGCTGGTGGAGCAGCACTGCCTCAGCTTTGCTCCCCTTTACCTTCAGGATGCTCTTCAGCTCCAGGGCATCCTGCTCTCGTTTTCGTCTTTCAGCCTCTTTTTGTGCCCGGTCAGCGATGATGGTTTCCTCAAACGTCCAGCACTGCAGAGTGGCACAGGAGTTCAGCAGTCACATGAAAAACACATCCAGGGAGCACCGGGAGCCCTGTGGCAGCCCACGGGTAATGGGTAAACACAGACCTTCCTCCCCCACCTCCTATATTTGATCTTCCCTGATTCCAGATGGCAAGTGTTGCTCATTACCACCACCAGTCCTAAGGCACTGAGAGCTGCTGCCAAAGTGAAACTGCTCATGGCCTGTGTGTAATTAACCTTCTGATCCTGTGGTGTAAAATGGCTGTCTGATGGGGTCTCAGGCAACAGATGTTGGTAGGAAGAATCCATGTTCCCCCAGGATAGGTAGCAGATGATGAGTGAAAACACTTGGGACACTGAGATGACAGCATACAGAGTGAAAATGGAGCCCACAAGAGGGGAACATCTAAATCAGTCACAGCTTCTCAGACCAGTGACAATAAGGAATGCCTACAAGTGAATTTTTTTCAGCCCCCTTTTTTCTACACACTTTGCTCTGTGCTGCCTGCTCCGCTCTGCCTGTGTATCTGCAATCAGAGTCCTGCAGCTGACGGTACAAAAAAGGCAGGATGCAGTTTTGCATGGGTGAGCACTGAGCTGCTGCTGCTGCTGTCTTACCTCGCTGGCAAATCTCTGCAGCATTTCCAGGTTCTTTGCCTTTGATTCTTTTAGGGCGTTGAGTTCTTTATCTTTAGCGTCTGTGTCATTTTCATGCTTGTCCACCCAATATTCCAGCTTCTCTTCCACCTTCTGCAATGGCACAGAGTGAGGCTTAGCAGGGGACAAAGAGCAGCAGGGGAAAGGTTTACTGCTGTGACATGCCTGCTCTCAGGATGGGGGTAAGAATGCCATCAGATCTGCATGGCCTGTGTTTCCTTCTCAGCCAAGCCTTGAAAGCATCACAACACTAGGAGTAATGATAACTTGCTGGGGACCACCATGGGGGCAGCAGCACTGGACTGGGCATGAAGGCAGACTAGACTGGGCTTTCAGAGGTGCATGAAGAATGGCGATGCACTGGGGGTTACATCTGTGCACAATCCTGGTGAAGTAAATGACAACCAGGAGCCATTCTTCATGCACGGGAAGAGGGGTTTAGGAGACAGTGTTTCACAGTGAGAGAGCTTTTATCCTGCACGTGACTCTGTGGCCACATTCTGGATTAAACTTAGTGCACCAGCAATTAGGTCCCAAGGGAGCGCAGTTTGTGCTTTCTCAGGTTGCGAACTTGGCTTTGTTTGACTCATCAATAGGATGGCAGGTGTTTCTGAAACCACCACACCGATGACTTCCTCCCATTCATGACTAACTTCACCATAGCAACAGCCATCACTGCTTGAATGGAAAAATAATCTGAGGAAAAGCATCAGTCTTGTGACAGCGTCACAGCTGGACGTGCAAGGGAGACAGAGGGCATGGTCATCTGTGTGGGCCACTGCAAAGCCACCAGCTGCTGTCTGAGTGCACAGAGGTTTGTACTCAGGAGGTCCCCTCACTTGGAAGCAGTGATCAAACTGTGGTTCTGGAACATAGAGATCACAGTGTAACTGCTCTGAAGACGCAGCACTTTTTTTGCACTTTGTTAAAAGTTCTGTACCCTTCTCTTAAATTACAAACAGGCAGTGATGTTGGGTTCCCTGCAGTAGGACAGGTTTTCTTCTGGTCATACGGTTTACGAGATGCCCACCAGTGGCATTCACTGTTACGAGCACTGCTGTTGATCATGGGAAAGCTCTGAACCTTTGCATTAACAGCAGAGGGACAGTCGTGGTTGTTTGCTGCTCAAGTCAGGTACAATAATCATGAGATAGCAGTTATTCAGACCTGGTTCATCCTTAGATTAAGAAAAGGCATGATTAGGCTGGCAGTTTCTGACCTTTCTTTCTTAATGCTCCCACTGTGCAACACTTGGGTGTGCAAAATGGACACCCTAACTCTGTGCAAGAGCATTCCTCACCGAGTTGCTGGAAATCCCAGCTACTGCCAAGGATGGTTTAAACAAAATCCCTATTAGTTGGGAAGGAAAAGCTGTAACTCTGGAATAAACAATGCCAGTCATTGTATGAACAGTAATTTTAAGGCAATATATCCAAATCACAAATATGGGACAGCTGGGTT